CACTCACCTCTGGAATGTTCTCGCTCTGACTGAACAACGCCGCCGCCGCGCTCAAGCTACCCTCGGCCTCAGTGCCCGCCCCCAGCGCCAAGCCGCACTGCCCATTGGCCGGAGGCCCGCCCTAACTCGCACGTCATTGGTCCGTTTGCCGCGTCAGTCGTCCCGTGCCTCGCCCCTTCTGCTTCCAGAGGATCCACTCGCGGCTTCAGCCCGCCTCCGGCCGGGGCTGGCTTCCTTCCCTTCCCCCCGCCTGTTCCCGGAGGCCTTCGCGGCGTGAGTCTCGGGTATCGCGAGAGCGGGGCGGCTCAGTCGGGGCGCGGGGCAGTGCTTTGTCGGTTTGGCCGCTGGGAAAGATGGCGGTTAGCGTCCCTATGCTGCTGTTCCTGCTACGGTCTGCGGCATGGTGATACCTACCGGCCGCGCGGGCGCCGTCGCGCGCAGTGCTGCTCCTGGGCTGCCGTCCACGCCTCTCCCGGTGGGCGCACCCTCGCGCGAGAGCTTGTCTCCGGTCCCCGGGAACGCTCGTGGTCGGGGCATGGAAGAAGCGATTTCTTCCACACCCCCTAAGCCAGTGCCTTTCACCCCAGGTGCAGCATTTTGTCCGCACCAGGCTGAAACATCTGTGGTGGTCGTGGCCACCGACAAAGCTGGCCCAGCCACTATCTTCTGGCGTTCGAGGTCCGCCCCGCCGGCTTGCGCCCCGACTGTCTCCCGGTTCCCCAAAGGGAAACGCCCAAGTAGTTTGCAACTCTCGAGAGCCTGCTTATCTTGTGAGACCCCGGTCTGATTGCTACGGCTTGGAAAGTTCCCTCCGGGTGTTGGCTGCTCAGCCGGCGTCACCCGGAGCTGAAGTCCAAGACGGCAAGCTGTAGCCCATAACGTACTCCTCTGATTCCCATTTGGAAAGAGTCTCGCCTGTTTTAATTCTGTTCAAAATTCCCTTCTTTCAGAAACTTAAACTTTGTATTTCAGTTGAAGCTTAAAGCGCAGATTCCACCCTGAAGTTTGAGGATGCATTTGACTGAAGGAAGGAGAGCTATTGGTTCCAACCGGCTCACCTGGGGTCTCTAAGCAGACGTCAGGGTCAGGGCCAAATTCCAGGCATCAGTGGGTGCACAAGACAGCACTGCTGTGTTAGGCCAGCTGAAATTTGCAAGAAAGGGTTGAAAGTTTGGTTGATTTTTACCAAATCCTAGATTACTCTTCCATGATTTATAGGTTTTACAAACCATTTAAAAGTTGACTGTCAATGGGAAGAATAAGACACTATGCAGGACAGAGAATGGTATGTCCTCCACGACTGAGGCATTGGTTATAGTCACTCAGTGTGTAACTGTCAGACCAAATGCATAGACGCTGTCACTGCCGGGCATGACTTAGCAGTATTGAAATAGTTGAGTTTTTGCCTGGTTGCGCGTAGAGGACATTATTATTTTTAATTTTTGCTGTAGGATGTATGCTCAAGACAGAGATAAAGTGAGAAATTACCCCCGAGGGGGGTGGCCATGCTACAGTCCCTTCTCTTCTCTTCTCGTCTTGGGATTTTGGTCATGCATGTACACTTGCCAGCTGTGTTTTTCAAGCCTCCAGGTTCAGGATTTGAATTGCAGGTCAATCATGTGGGATCCAGCACCTTAACCTCACCATATGTTGGCCAGACTGAGGACATTATTTTTTGAATTTGGTTGGAAAATATGAGCATGCAGCTAGTCTGAGGTAAGAGATGTCTCTTCAGAAAAGTTACTTAATAAAAGACCAGCATGACTCCCACATGGTGGACTGAAGTTAGTCCCTGACCCAGGGGCTTGAAACTCAGACCAGGGGTGTGTGTGTGCTGCCCAAGATCCCGGGAGGAGAATGGAGGGATTGCGATGTGGCAACCCTCTGGGGGGTGTTTTCTTGCTTTCTGTCTCTGTCTGTCCAGTGAGTGCATCTACCCTATAGAAAAACTCTTAAAAAAACATTTTTTTTTAAGTGCATACTATTGGGACCAGCAGATGACATAATGGTTACATCACTAAACTCCCAAGTAGTCAACCGCGGTTCGAATCTCAGACCTGGTGACCTAAAATGCACACTGGGTACACGTGCATGCATGCCCCAAATCCTAAGAGAAGAATGAAAGAGAAAGGGTCACAGTGTGGCTATCCCCCCTGGGGGCTTGATTTCTCACTTTCAGAGCTTCTCTCTGTCTCTCTGGCGAGTGCATGCATCCTATAGCAAAAATCTCTTTCTCAAAAAAAGTATGCTACTAATTTTAACTTTTTAATGTTTAATATGTTTAATGTTTAATATGGGTACCACTCATTCGTATATAATTATGAACAACTTAATCATAACATTTGTTAAGTGCTTATCCTATCCTGGAAGTTTGCTAATCCTAATACTTCTTAGACCTGCTGGGGAATTTTTATTCCATTTTACAAATGATTAAACCTAGGCTTAGTGGAAAAAAATGAAGCAACTTTCCCAAGGTTGCATTGCTACTAAGTGGCGAGCTAGAATTTAAAGCAGATCTGGCAGATAGCAAAGCCTGTACCTTTAATCATTGTATCATAGAGCCTCTTCAGATAAATATAAACATAAAACTAGGCAGTTTACACGTGTAATCCCACTTAATTCTTTAACAGTCATGTGAGGGGATGTCATGCCCATTTCACAGGAAAGGAAAAAGACTCAGGAAGGCTAAGCCATTTTCCCTGGGGTCACCTGCGTAATAAGTGGTGGACAACGTTTGAACTCCAGCTTGTCTGACGCCAAGCTCATTGCATAATTCTGCCTTCCGTTTCCATGTCTCCGCCTCATTTGGCTGCAATATTTTCCACAAACAGGTGCTCACAATACATTAAGTGCACTTGGAGCTTATGAAATGCTTGTGGAATGAGTACTTGAGTTATGCATTTCAGCGCATGCCCTGATAGGACAACCAAATAGCTGCTGAAAGGTAAGTTAGGAAATTTGCCTCCCGCTCGTTTGAACACTGGTGTTTGTGAGTCTGCTTAGCAGAACTGAGGGCCCTAAAAAAGAGCAACTCCTCTGTGTTCTGAGACCCTTCTGCTTCAGAGCTATGGGCTCCAAAGGGGCCTAAGGTATTACCCCCTGAGGGGCCGTCTGGTTGGCCAGCTGGCCTCTGTGACATCTCTCAGCTTACATGTGCACTGTTACCTAAGTTCCTGTCTCCCCTGCTGAGGGCCAGCTACCGGGCACACGTTTTTCTGTTAGTACCAACCTGTCACACGCTCTCCGTCAAGCCGGGATTCGAAGCTGCTGGAAGGGAACCAGTTATCTGGTGAGCCCAGAGTTGGCTGACTTGAGGGCTGCTGTGCGAAACCTGGGGATCTATGCATCTGCGTAGGAAACATTTCTGTGCTAGGTGGGAGGCGACAGCCAGCCCCAGCACAGGCCCTGCCAGGAAGTCCTTTGTAAACAAGTGGCTGCTCCTGTCTGCTTGGCAGATGCCGCACGGAAGCTTGGCCTCCCCCCTGAGCTCTCCAACCTGGACAGGAGGCCTCCCCGCCTTTGTGACTGCCCACCCACCCCACCTGCTGCCCCTTCTCGCACCCCCAACACCTGGCTGTGGTTGCCTGTCTTCTCATCCGTCTTCCTGGGTAGGCCGAACAGCGGAGGGCAGGGGACTGGGCCTCAGGAGGAAAAAGGAATCTGAACTTTGGCCAGGGAATAGGGCCTTCTGTTCTGAAGGGGACAGAGATAGGAGAACCAAAAGTCCCTGAGGAAAGGGAGTCCAGGTGACATCTCTGGAGATGGACACTCTCTCTTCCTCCTCCCAAGGACAGCACTACCGCCCTGACCAGAGTCTTGTGCCATTCCAGGAAGAATGAGGAAAGTGCAAGGTGGAGGGACCCTGCCTTCCTGTGCCCCTCACACGTGCAGCAGTGCCTTCTGTGCCCCGCGTACGTACCAGTGCCTTCCTGTGCCCTGCGTGTGCGCACCAGTGCCTTCCTGTGCCCCACGTGTACAGCAGTGCCTTCTGTGCCCCGCGCGTGTGCGGCAATGCCTTCCTGTGCCCCGCATGTGTGCAGCAGTTGGCGGAGCGGGGTGGTACATTGGAGAGCAGGCGTGGCCCTTGTGTTGGTTCTGACTCAGTCACATTGCAGCCACACACAAGGCCCCGAACAGGCCAGTACACCTTTCTGGTTGCTTCTTGCACACTGAAGCTCTTTGCAGGGAAGGAAGTTGTGTAGCCAGTGTGTGGTTGTAGTGGCAGCAGGGAGGGCGTGTGCTCATGCACAACCTGTCACTGTGGGAATTCACGTGGAGTGACGTGCTGGCAGGGCAAAGCCGTGGTCTGCTCTGGGTCTCCTGCAGGAGCGCTGGCATCCCTGCTCTGATTGCTGGCAGCCAGTCTCAGACTCCAGGAAGCAGCATCCTCACTCGCCCTCCTACCATACAGTCATCCTTTTCCTTGTCCGCCATGGGAAGGCCCACGTGCCAGTGGGTTAGCCCTGCCCCTGCCCGGTCCATGCTACTGGGGACTGCACCTTGGTAGTTCTCACTGCTGTCGCTGGGCTCTTTGGGTAGGGGTATCATTAGATCATTTTTTGAGTACAAATATCTGTGGCTATATTCTTGGCTTTTGTTTGTTTTAATTTGCTACAAGATGTGTGCTCCTTGGAAAGAGACAGAGAGGGAAAGTGAGAAAGCATCCCCCAGAGGGGATGACCACAGCACGGTCCCTTCTACATTCTCTTCTTGGGACTCTGAGCACACACGCACACGTGCCTAGTATGTTTTCAAGCCCCTGGGTCCATGACTCCAACCACGTAGTCTGCCGGGTACCTTAACCACCATTCCACCATCCCACCATCCCACCATCCCACCATCCCTCACCGCTGACCCTATTTTTTTGAATGGCCTGGTATACATGTAAATTTTATTGAATATTTCAAAGACACACAGAAAGGGCTTTTTCTTTTTTTAATTGCCAGAGGGTTCATGTGCTCACCAGAGACAGAGAAAGCATCCTCCATGGGGAATGGTGCTTCATTGTTCTGCTGGGATACGGGGCACACATGTATGTGTGTCTAGTGTGTCTTTCAAGCCGTGAGGGCTGAGATTTGAACTGCAGTTACTATTTGGGATCTAGACTACTGGCCAGCCCAGGACTCTTTTTTTTTTTCTTGGAGAGGTTTTTGCTATAGGGCATGCACTCACCAGAAAGACAGAAAGTGAGAAATCATCCCCCCAGGGGGAATGGCCATGCCACAATCCCTTCTCCATTCTCCTCTTGGGATCTTCTTGTTCTCCATTCTCGTCAGGCACGCACACGTGCCCGGCATGAGTTTAAGCCACCAGGTCCGGGACTCGAACCGTGGTCGACTACAGGGGAGTCCAGTGACATAGCCATTATGCCAACTGCTGATCCCCTAGGACTCTATTTCTTTAAAGGAAGCTCATCCTACTTAACTGTACATGACCCGTTTTCTCTATGGCATATGATTTCAAATGAGAGCATTGGAACTCTGCAGAGTGTATTAAAACATGGTGGGAGGGGCAGCAGGTGGTGTGGCACTTAAAGCGCTGGATTCCCACGTGGCCAACCATAGTCTGAGGCCCAGACTCCAGCAGCTTGAGAACCACACTGGGTGTGTGCCCCCAAAATCCCAAGAGGAGGTGGAGGAGAAAGAATTGCAGCATGACCAACACCAGGGAGTGTTTTCTCACTTTCCCTCTCTCTGCTGTCTCTGGAGAGAGATGTGATATGCATGTGTGCTATGGCAAAAACCGAAAACAAATGAAAATAAAACTGACTGTAGGGCTGGCTCTGTGGTCCCTGGTGGTGAGGGCAGCCTGACCCAATATGGCTGACCATGCAGTTTGAGTCCTAGACGCTGTGGCTCAAGAGACACATCAGGTACCTGCAGTGCATGTGCCCACAACCCCCAAGAGGAGGGAGGAGAGGAGAAGGGCTTGTAGCATGGGGGTGCTTTCTTGCTCTCTGTCTTTCTCTGGTGACCGCACATGGCTCTCTCTGGCACGTGACTCTCCTCACAGTGTTTGTTCCTCAGGTGGGACTGAGAAGTTTGGTTTCTCACTGATTCCTAAGAGACACAGGTCTTGCTGGTCCCAGGTGTGCACTTAGCTTCAAAGCCCGAGACCTGTCACTTGGAGCGCGGGTACCCTCTTCCCCTCAGCACAGTCTCGGCAGCTTTCACTCAGATCTCCCCTCATTCAGGCAGACTGAGAGTCAGAATAAGGACGTGGGGCCAGCAGGTGGCGTGGTGGTTAAGGGCACTGAACTTCCACATGGCCGATCAAGGTTTGACTCAGACCTGGCCGCTTGCTTTCTCACTTCCCCTTTTTTTTATCTCTCTCTCTCCTCTGACCCTTTCTGGTCAAATTAAATGAATGAGGGACCAGCAGTTAATGTAATGGCTATGTCGCTGGACTCCCACGTAGTTGACCACAGTTCGCATCCTGCACCTGTTGGCTTAAAACTCACACCGGGTGTGCGTGCGTGCCCAAGATCCCAAGAGGAGAATGGAGGAGAAGGGATTGCGGCGTGACCATCCCCCCTGGGGGGTGATTTCTCTCTTTTCTTTTTTTTGGAGAGGTTTTTGCTATAGGGCGCGTGCGCTCTCCAGACAGACAGACAGAGACAGAGAGACAGAAAGCGAGAAATCACCCCCCCAGAAGGGATGGCCACGCCGCAATCCCTTCTCCTCCGTTCTCCTCTTGGGATCTTGGGCACACACACACACCCACCCGGCGTGAGTTCAAGCCACCGGGTCTGGGCTCGAACTGTGGTCAACTATGTGGGAGTCCAGCGACATAGCCATTACGCTAACTGGCGATCCCACAATAATACTTTTTTAAAAAAATAAGGACAACAGAATCTGCCCCAGTGAGTTTCATGGAAGTAGCTCCCAGTGTCATGGCGGAGTGATGCAACTGGCATGCACCTGTTAGGAGAGAAGTGCCCAGGACCTCACAGGGCTCACCGGGCTCTGTCACCCCCATTGATGTCCTCATACCTTGGAGGTAGCAGGTATATCTGTCGTCCCCCTCATCTCTCACATGAGGAAACCCACTGTTCCGGAGCACCTGCCACAGCCGTCCTCTCTGCAGGTGTGCCTGGCATGGCCTTCCATCCAGGGGTGCCTGGCACAGCCCCTCCGTGCAGGTGCACCTGCCACAGTCCCCTCCACCCAGGTGTGTATTTGCGTCGGCACCTGCCCCAGCACTCATGCATGTTGCTTGCCTCACTCTGTTGCTCTTCTCTTGTCTGTTCATTCGTATTTCATTCAGCCGATATCTCACGCTCTCCTATGCTTACCTGGAGCAGTTAAACATCTAAGACGTCGTACTCATTTTCTATGACTGTTGTAACAATGTGCCACAAACTCCTGACTTAAAACAAAAGGAATGTATTTTCTCACATTGCAGAGGCCAGAAGTGGAAAATCCAGGTGTGGACAGGACCACGCTCTTTCTCCTACCTTCTGGTAGTAATGGGTCATACCTGGTGCTCCTCGGCTTACCACCGTAAAGTTCTGGTCTCTGCCTCTGTCCCCATCTGGTTTCTTCCTTTGTATCTGTTTTCACATGGTGTCTTCTGAAGACCCAGCCACTGCCCTGCTCCAGTAGAACTTCATCTTAATTACCAGCTCTCATTTACAGGTACCCAGGGTTAGCACGCCAACGTATCCTTTTGGGAGACAAAGTCATTCTTTTTATCTATATTTCCCTTTTTATATTTTTGCCATAGGGCATGTACACTCACTGGAGAGAGACAGAGACAGAGAGAGGGAAAGTGAGGACTTCTCCCGCAGGAGGGATGGCCATTCATAATCTCTTTTCCATTCTCCTCTAAGGATTTCGGGCATGCTCACAAACATACTGGGTGTGTTTTTTAAGCTGTCAGATCTGAGACTCAAACCACGGAGTTGGAAACCAGCAGTTGGCCTAATGGCTATGTTGCTGGACTCCCATGTCGACAGTGGTTTGAGTCCCAGACCTGGCGGCTTAAATTCATGCCAGGAGCGTGTGCATGTGTGCCCAAGATCCCGCGAGGAGAATGGAGGAGAAGGGATTGCGGCGTGGCCATCCCCCCGGGGGGCGATTTCTCGCTTTCTGTCTCTCTGTCTCTCTCTGTCTTTCTGGCAAGCACATGCGCCCTATAGCAAAAACCTCTCAAAAAAAAAAAAAATGCAGTGTTGGCCATGTGGAATCCAGCACCCCCTAACCACCACACCCCCTGTTGGCCCCAATAACAGTCATTTTTTTTAGAAACCCAAATAATCCAAAATTTAAAACATGGCCTTTGCTCAACATCTTTTGGGAGACAAGATCCCTAAAATGCCACTGGTGCCCCAGCGGTAGCTTGCATTTGGGGATCGCTCAGTGAGATGGGTGGTTCTGTGACTCCACTCTGCAGACGAGGAGACTGAGGCACAGAGGGTGACACAGCTCGGCCAAGGTCGTTGGGGGGCAGAGCCGGACGTGAATGCGGGCAGGTGGCTGGGTCCATAGGAGTTGAACCGCGTGTGCCACGTTTGGGGCTGAAGCTCAGCGACTGCATTTTCATTCCCATCAAACTCCTCCCTTGAGATACAGACAATGTGGAACTAACTTTCATGGAGTTCTCTCATTTGTGAGTGTCCCATGTAGTAGAACAGGCCTTCCTTGCAGCTCTGCCAGCTTCCCAGAGTGATTGCTGGGCTTCAGGTATAAAACTATCTGCTTGTGTTCTTGACCTAGACGGATTGGGATATTTCTAAATTTTCATTTAAACAAGATTATGTACATATTTGGGTCAATTTCCTGTGCCTCTGTCATGTTCACTAGTAGATGGAAGAATTGCCCAGAGGGACCAGCAGTTAGCGTAATGGCTATGTCGCTGGACTCCCACGTAGTCAACCGCGGTTCGAGTCCTGGACCCAGTGGCTTAAACTCACTCCGGGCACATGTGCTTGCATGCCCCAGATCCCGAGAGGAGAAGGGATTGTGGTGTAGCCATCCCCCTGGGGGGTGATTTCTCGCTTTCTGTCTCTCTGTCTCTCTCTGTCTGTCCGGCGAGCGCAAGTGCCCTATAGCAAAAAAAAAAAAAAAAAAGAACTGTCCAGAAACCATAAAAACATGCTCTAGGGAACCAGCAGTTAGCATAATGGCTATGTCACTGGACTCCCAGGTAGTCAACCGTGGTTTGCGTCCTGGACTGGTGGCTTAAAACTCACGCCGGGTGCATATGCGTGCGTGCCCAAGATCCCGAGAGGAGAATGGAGGAGAAGAGATTGCGGCGTGACCATCCCCCCTGGGGGGTGATTTCTCGCTTTCTGTCTCTATGTCTCTCTCTCTCTGGCGAGCGCATGTACCCTATAGTGAAAACCTCTCCAAAAAAAAAAAAAAAAAAAGTAAAAACCCCCCCAAAAAAAAAAAAAAAAAAAAAAAAAAGCTCTAAATAACCTTTACTTTGTGGCAGTACTGATTTATCTAAGAAAATACGGTTAGTACCAGAAGGGGCTGTTGCAATGGATTCATTCTTACTTTCTTTAAATTAGGTGAGAGAGTTTCATTTTCTCGGTGGTGAGCCCCCCCCACTCAGCACCCAGGGTGACACCCCCTGCAGTTATACTGTAAGCGAAGCTGGCTGCTCTGAGCGTGCTGTGCCAGAGCCCA